GTGCTTCTTCGCCAGCCAACAACTCCAACAAAAGCGTCAGAATGACAGTCATGGATCGTGATTATTGAGCTTCATCGTGAAAGACATCGTGTGGGGGCTTTGGAGCAGCCCCAAAGCCCCCAGCATGACGATGCCCTTCACAGGCCCTAATGGTCGACTCTCGTCGACATGCAGATTAGCCCGGAAGTTTCAGGCCGAAGCCAACAGCTCACCACCGGCTTGAAGCTGTGACTGTATGGCAGAAGTCCTTCCAAGATTAAAGACGAATTCAATTCTGAAGACAGTGGAAGATGGAGAAAGCATAAATACTCGCGCTTCCATCTCCTCTGAAGTCAAAACTCCAAAATACCTTAGTCAACAAAGACAAACCACCAAAAGTTTGTAAAACATCGCTAGAAAGCCTCTCTCTTCACAACCCCAGCGCGAAGAATAGCTTTCTTATCTTGGTTCTATCCCAGGATTTCTTTGATATGGGCTCCGCAATCCTCCGTTGTCTTTTCATCTGCATCATTGCAGCAGTCTTGGCTGCAACCCAAGAGGAAAAGGTTTTCGATCTTGGACAACTCAGTCAATATCAAGGAAATGTGAGTACCATTGTTGTCGCCGGTCCAACTAAGAAAGCTGATACCTTAATCTAAAAAGGGAAAACTTCCAGATCTCAGTGGTAAAGTGATCTGGATGTCGGGCAAAGAGGGTACAGGGTTCCATGTTGCCCTGTCACCTGATGCTCAGGACGAAGTCCGGAAGACGTTGATCGGTTGCGAACAGACTGATGACAAGTGCTACCAAGACGTACGAGAGATAATTCAATCGGCCAATCTTGTAATCGACGCCGAGATTGAACGTCGCCACTTTGGGCATTTCCTCTCCAAGACATTCAAGTCAAAGGGCTCCGCGTTCACAACGATTGCTATGTTGCTTCTTTCGGCCTGGAGCTTCAAGCATCCCGAGCAGCCAACCATTCAATTTGGGGACCATATAATTCCTGATACAAAGGCTAGTAGCGCGGCTGGTCTTGCGGACACGAAAACAATTGTCTTATCTGCAGAAGGGAAGGGCGTTGCTACACTCACCCCTGTGCCAGATCCAACCAGACCAGAAGGGTGATTCTCCTAAAAAAAATAGTCTTAATATGTGCTACATGTACGATGTTACTGACGAAGCTCTATGCAGTACTGCCACACCTTTGATCACGCCCATTACCACCGCTATTGCCGGTTATATCCCAGGGGATCTGATGGTCACCATGGACGAAGGACTAGCCAAGCGGCTCGAAGAAATTATACGAAGGTCTACCGACTGCCTTGATGGCAGGCAGTTCGACAGTGATGCCAATGGAAAACGCGCTGTTCACTTTGGAGCCGCCATATGTGGTGCTCAAGGGGCCATCGGCATGGCAACTCCTGGTGGCCCACTGGAAGACCTCCTTCTCATGAATCCACCAACCTTACCATTCACGACTGGAAATGTCGCCAATGCCGCCCTTGTCGTCACGGAGTTTGTTAGAGACTTCGCCCCGCTGATGAATATCGGGGAAAGCGCCGCACAGGGTATTGGCGAAGTTGTCTTCATGATGGCTTACAACACCCTGATTGAAAATCTACCCCTGGGAGACAAGAATCCGATCAAGCAAAAGCTCATGTCGGGCACCATCACCACACCACCCGCCTCAGCCACAGCAACTACTATGTCTGGATGTTCACGAAGTACTGCCTGTGAGGCCTCGTGTGAGGGCGTTGGCATTATGTTTCAATATTGCGAAACATCGTGCGGAGCCGTGTCCGGATGCCGAACCGATGCAGGGAGTCAGACATCAACGCCCATTACCACAATAACGACGAAGGCGTGGATACCTCCACCAGCAGAGACTGGAGTTCCGACGACAACGTTGACCCCATCTGCCAACCCAAATTGCGCCATGGATAAACCTGCCGAGATTCAATGGGATGCATTTGCAGGGTCAAAGTACAACGTGGCAGCAAAGTTCTGCCAGGAAGTCGACGCCCTGGCTTCACAGGCGCTTTCATGGGTTGTCGACATAAGTGGTAACAATCAGGAAGCCAAGCTGCAGGCCCGAACTCCGCCAGTCACACTCGACCCGTACAAGGGCTACATCGTGAATCTCGATTGGAAACCAAACAAGGTATTTGACGCAGGCTCTTGCCAGAAAAGCTGCCTAGACGCATACAAAACAGTTGCGAACACATGTGAGTCCATGCCATCTCCCAATCTCCAATCTTCATTGGATGGCATTGACTAAAACACGTTAGGCGGACACACGGGAGGCGAAGGCAACGTCATGGCCGAAAAGGGCCAATACGATGCTGGTTGCGGGACGTACTCATACCAAATCACCAACACGGCCCCTCGTAAAGGCGAACTGCGTTGCAACAGCGAGGGCGACTTTCCGAAGCACAAAGATGTCCACGAAGTGACAGTCAAGCAGGGACTCAAGGCTATGTGCAATGAGGTCTTACCTGATGTCGTGACACCCGGACATGAGGCAATAACCCGGATCTACTACTCGAAGTATTTCAATGCCGCGAAGCTGAAGTATTCCGTGGCTTGGAGAAAACAGTGCTCACCTGCTGTAACGGAGCAGAATCCCAAGGAACCTTGGGGTGGGGGTACAATTGGATGTCGCCAATTATTCTACCAACTTTGGACCGATTGTAAGTTCGCGATTGTCACGGAATCCTATCATATACCAAACGGGTGGCCTTCATGTCATTTCTAACTCGGACCGATAGGTATCAATGGAGGTGTTGCTGGAACGCGGGATATTGGGTGTTTGACATATTCCTTGAGTCCTACGGAAGAGTGAAGAGACTACTTTACTTAGCACACTTTCTTTCGCAAAACACCCGCTCAAGGAAGTCTATGCGGAAAGGCTACTCAATTGAAATGGAATCCAATGCCTGCATATTAGTTGGCGGGTATGCAATGCGAGTCGCCAGTTTTGCGCTCTTGGCGGACGAGCTGTTCCCATCAACGCTTTCGTGAGAACGAAGTACTGCAAAGCTATTTCTCTTGCTTCGCTCGTGCAAAAGGACTAGCACACTTTGGAGGCCTAATGGCTAGCATTCACCTCCCAGGTCTTCCCACTAAAAGTCGGTCTATGGAGGCTTTTGGATCCTCCCCAAGCGCGATGCAGTTCAATACTTGTTGATCAATACTTGTTTAAGGCATTGCTTATTACTAGGTGGACCACATCTGACTCGTGATTACTAATTCACAAACTCTTTTAGATGACATTGCTCCTCTTTGCCGAGGGTTGTAATACTAGATATATGAATTAGAAGACAATCATATCCTCCCTGAAACGATGCGACGACGGGCATCTTGAGTCAGCGTAAGGCGGCTACGAGATCTTGGCACAAAGAGTTATTGAAGACCAGTTATTAAAGTATGGTATGGCCGACCGCATGACAGTTTTGCGATCCTAGGTCAACCGGTCCAATCAATGCCTTCTAACCCACCCCCTCGCCGCTCGACTCATAACCACCACGCGAAGCTATCATTGTCGTCCCAATCATGCAGAACTGGGCAACTTTAATTATGGCGGCTTTGGTTGCTGGCTCTGCGGCCAAGGACTGTGCTTTCTTCTACGACTCTACCGTCTCGGATCCCTTCATGGCTTCCATCCCTGCTTCCAACGCCCAGTGGTATTGCAAAAACGACATTGGCGGTACGATGGAGGACAAAGAGTCGAATATCTCCAACTCGGCAACCAACCCGAACTTCAGATGTGGCATTTGTCGGGGAGCTAGGAGTTCGACCAAAGACTACGACATCCCTGACAAGATTGGCAACTATGCGATTCGATGCGGATATTATGCTCCTGGAAAGTGCACGGCGAGTTAGAAAGAAATTGTGAGCCCAAAAGTTATCAGGTTCTCCTGTACTTGATTCCAAGCTTTCTCTTCCCTTTCTTTTTACTATTATTCTAACAACGTTTAAGTCGGCCATTCATTGGCTTGGAAGGCGAGTGGAGGTCCCAGGGATCCTATACAGAACAGCCTCGATGCCAACTTGAACGAGACTTTTGTGGAAGACCATGCTTCGAAGACAAGCTCAGATGCTACAAGATCGAAAGGTTGTGTTAATGTGGGTAAATACATGACTTCGGGATCGGTCACGACATTCGGTTCGGCATCTACGGACTCAACATACAGCGCAAATATTGACATAAATGTTGAGTTTCACAAGTCAGAAGGTTCCTACTCCATGTGTTTGCATGAGTGACTGTTTACGATTTCTGTGCTTCAATGTTTTGGGAACAGTTCTCTCCGATTTCAAGCTGAACCAGGCTTGATGTGTTTGTTGTTCTAATAAAGTTGTACTATTACTCGTAACAGAAGACATTCCCTTGAAGTACTCAATCAAGACTTCGCTTGCTGATTCAAATAAGCTTGATTCTATGTGAATGTTGTTTTTACTTACTTACTGCAAGGACTAATTCGAGTCATCAAACCCTTTGAATATGCGTGCCCCTAAAGAACCCGTGTGCATTCGTTCACTTTGTTCGTCGGCAGAACTCATAAAATGATCGAGTGAGCATACAGATTTGGCGAGTTCTTCAATGAGAATCGCATATCTAAGCTCTAGTTCCCCAACGTGTCATTTTCACCTCGAAGTTTATTCTTAGCACCTGTGGCGTTGGACAAAATGATGAGAGCAATACGGCGCGTTCAGTCACTGGTGAGAATTTCGTCGCGTGTGCGCACTCAGATTAAGGTGTCACATATTCTACAGATTTGATAGGCTAGCATGTGCGGGATATGACACACAGCTGCTGGTCCTGCCTCGTTGCCTCGTTGCCTCGTATCCTGCTGATTTGGCTTACCTGTCAATTACACCCCTTAAAGGCTGGTTCCACATCAAGTTCCGCGTGAGATGCTGCTTAAAAATGCTGAGCCACTGCTATCTGAGCTGTTGGGAACCAACAATATCTGACAGTCGTCAGTTTTCCTACTCATCATTCCTCGGGCGGCGTCACGATGAAGCTTCTTAACTGCTCCACCCTTCGCATCGAGGATATGCATCCGGCAAGAAAGCAGAAACTCGAAGAGCAGGGGGTTTCAACAGCCTACGCTATCCTTTCTCATAGATGGGAGAGCGATGAGGATGAGGTCACCTTCGAAGACATGGCCAGTGCCGAGATAAGGTCCAAAAAGCTGCTTGGGTGGTCGAAGATTGAGAAAACTTGCACCGAGGCACTCAGGATCGGGATCGCATACGCTTGGATAGACACTTGCTGTGTCGATAAGCGAAACCTCACCGAGCTTACTGAAGCCATCAACTCAATGTTCAAGTGGTATGCAGAGGCGGAAATTTGCTTCGCGTACCTCTCGGATGTCGATTCAGGGGGCGATTTAACGAAATCCGTGTGGTTCACGAGAGGTTGGACCCTGCAGGAGCTCATCGCTCCGGGCAGAATGGAATTTTACGACAAGCATTGGAGTACGATTGGTAGCCGAGTTGACCTTTCACAACAAATACAACTACGAACATCCATCAACGCTGAAATCTTGAGACATGACTCATCAACACGCCGAAGCATTCAAAGCCTTCTGGCTGGTATTCCGGTCGGCCGGCGCATGTCCTGGGCCGCCGATCGTCGAGCAAAGAAAGAGGAAGACCGTGCTTATTCACTCTTGGGGATCTTTGGCGTCAGTATGCCTTTGCTCTACGGGGAAGGTGACCGAGCCTTCCTCCGATTTCAGGAAGAAATCATCAAGGAGACCAACGACATGTCACTGTTCGCTTGGTGCGACTCCACCGTCACTTCTACAGATGGCTCGGCAGAGTTTCGCGGCATCCTCACCACTACTCCGGATCATTTCCGCGATCGTCGCGATCTAACATCCCTAAGCGATCTAAGACGTGGCCCAGAGGTTTGTTGGAAACCACTAAAGACTTCTGCAAGAGAGTGCGATGTTAATTTGTTCATGCCGCTATGTGTAGTTTTCCATGACGAACAAGGGGTACGGATGGAATCCAGGCTCCTTACACATGATAAAGTCGGCGAAGACACGTACTTGCTTAGCCTGGGAATTCCAAGAAACGCGAAATCCAAGTCTGATGTTTTGGGCATCCTGCTTTGTAAGCTCAATGGTGATATCTTTGTCAGGGCGGGGCCGGACGAGCTGCGCGTTAGCATTCTGAGAATAATAGTCGGCCACTCGAAAAGAAGATTCTTTTCATCTCTAAGCAGTTTACTGCAGATTTGTTGGAGGAAACTGTGCGGATTCCGGGCCGGGACTTCAGGTTTTCCTTCGACACCGAGAGACCGAAGTTGATAGTGCGCGTCATCTCTCAAGCAGCCAGCAGAGCCTACTGGGACCCTGATACATACAGATTTGTGAGTCGACGCCTATGGGAGTTCGAAGGGTCAGAAGGTCGTAGTCGTCTGCGGATTCGACACACACAACGGTATGTGGGTCTACTTAGACGAGGTTCTTCGGGATAATGTACCGATATTCTATGAATATAAAGTGGCGGACGAGACTCTGGATGGTATTCCAGTCACAAGATTTCATTTCTTTAGTACCAGGTTAGTTGCAAGGAAGCCTGCCCTAGAGATAAAAGTTAATCTTCAGCCAAGGATTCGGATGCCACACGAAGTGACCCAGGGCGCATGTGAAGCGAAAGGGGAAAAGGCTCTCACAATGCAGCTTTCGAATTGCAAACTGATGTAGAGTGAGACCTGAATCCTACGGGTCGATGGACTCTTATCGGTTAGATAGATTGAAATCGCTGCTTCACGATCCAGCAGATACCGCCATGATAACATAGGAGTACTGAGTATGGTGAATATACACCTAGATCCTACGTTTGTACATGAGAGAACCACAACATGAAAGACCGCATGATTTGCGTAATATGAACTATTGCCATAGAGTAACGTTCGTGAGAGGGCTAAGTGAGAAAACGAAAGCCTAAAGAGATTCTTTTGAAAGGTGTAAACACGACGAATGAGGAAGACGCCTGCAACCTCTGCTTGCATAACCCTGCAATCTAATCGGCACTAGCATAATAATACACACTATGTGTGCAGTTTTTTGTTGTTTAAAAATCAAGTTGTCATAAGTAGCAAACACGCAGTAGGGTACTACCTTAGGTATATCGAAGAAGTGGGCGAACCGCCCATTCCATTCAATAGAAAGAAGCTCCAGGCTTTGCAACTATCCAACACAACCCTTTGTCTTTTTTGATAAAACCCAGCCGTCAATGCATAATTGGTATAAACGTGATCCCGCAATCTTTCCCAGCCTTTCTCCGCCTAGTCAAAACAAAACCACCCCGCAGGACATTAGATGAGAAGTCCACCCACAACACCAGCGGCAGCCATGCCCAAGCTGAGCAGACCCCAGCGGACGTCGCCGCGGGCCTCGATACCAGCGCTGGGCTGCGACGAGGATGAAGCAGAGGGAGAGCTTGAGGCAGAGCTGGGGCTGCCAGTGGCCGCGGAGCCGAGGGTACCACCGCCAGTCGCGCTGGGAGCGACGTTGGACTGCGCCGCCGCGGCGGCCTGGGCATATTGCTCAATAGTCCTTGCACCGCTGGCACTATCAATAAGATTAGCAAGTTTGGCTTCATACCTCTGAGTAGAGACATGAACTTACGGAGCGTTGATAACACCAACCATACCACCCTGGCAATGCTGCCCAGTAGCGCAGTAAGTCAACATACCCACTTCCTGGCACCCCCCTGTTTCTGGCACCACAAAAACGATGGGATCACAACCCAACCTCCTCATTACTATTAACTATTGATCCTCAACCACACCCACTACAATACAGCTGCCAGCCTCACTAGGGCATTCAGAGTCGCTGGATTCAGCCGTGATAACCTCCTTTTCACCCGCTTCGATTTGAGCCCGATGGATATCCCTGATGTTCGCGAACTTCGTATTGGGATCG